TTAGGCGTTTAGTTTAGGGGTTTAGGGTTTAGGGTTTAGGGGTTTAGGGGTTTGGGGTTTGGGGCTCCTTTTTTTCGATGACCTGCCTCCGATTTCAAACATTCGTCATCAAAGCCCCCCTACATCATTCTTGCTTCGTGGCCTTTTTCCCGAAAAAGGGGGGGGCGCGCCTTCGCCTTCTCCGTCATGAGGTTCAGGGTCCCGCTGATGATTCCGATTTGTGCGCCCAGCATGGGCAGGCAAGTGAGGATGATACCCTGAGAAGAGCACCAACACATCCTCAGCCTAAGCCCTAATTATGTCCGTCTGCTTACCCCAACCAGACCCCTTCATGGCTCAAACCCATGACGAGGCACCAACACCAGAGCCTGTTCCGGCTCGTTCTGGGCCGTGAAGGGATATGGCGCAGGTGTGTATTGCGCAATCACCTCACGGGCCGACACTCAGGTCTGCGTGTGCCCCTTTACAAGTGGTCTGACATGCGGTGGAGCAACCCAGTTGAAGGCAATCCTTGGTCGCAAAGGCTCAGGCAAGCTTGAGATCCCACAAAAAGCTCCCAAAATCTCATCTTCAGCCGAAGCTCATGTACTGGAATTGAAGGGGCTGCTCTTCGATGAGATACGCTTGCAGCCAGTTCTTCGACCTCCCTGCTTCCTGCTCTTGGCGGCCGATGTAAATGGCAATGCAGGCGAGGGCGTGATTGACACCGAAGATGAAGACCACACACTGCAGGATGGTGGAGAGGTTCACCGCGCGGAGCATCCCGCGCGCAGCGAGCCGGCCTTCCACCGTCGTGATGGCCTGTACCAGGAATGTCGGAACAAAGGGTCCATAGGAAAAAGTGAGCAAACTGAAGTCTAAAGTGTTAGAACGGATGTTGCACTGCACCATGCGTGTGAAGAGCACGAAACGTGTGAAGAGCACCAAACGCCAGTGATAGCCATCAAGCGAACCAGGAAGCACTACAAGCGAAAGCAGTCGTACCCTGTCTTCGATTTCTATGAAGTGTCGGAGCATTCCGCAGCAGATTCAGCATGACGGCTGTGGGCAAATCCTTTACGCGAGCTCCTTCAGCCAGCCTTGCGACGTGGGGGCGTGATGTTGCGCTCCAAAGTTGTTAAGTCAACCGACGAACCGAGGTTACCTTTAGTTACGATTGGATAGGAGTCTGCGAAAACCGTGGGGAGGTGGTCTGACGTACATGTGCTTGTCGAGCTCGGAGGAGGGCGATTCATCTCTGTGCCTCAACTGGTCGAGGGCTTCTCCTCACGTTCGCCTTTTTGCTGTCACACCGTCACGACGTGTCAGGATCTGGCCTGTTTGAACTTGACCGTGCGGAGCAGCCGCATCATAGTCAGGGCTTTGAAGTCTTCGGGAACAAGCTCTGCAAGCAGAACCAGATCCAGAGTTACCACGAGAGCGTCCAATGGAAACCAGGTGCCTCTGCTCAGACTTGCTACTGGCATCACTATGCAGAATCACGGATGCCGTTGCTGCAAATAGCAATGTTCAAGACTTTGGCACAGCTTATCAGCGCCAATTCAGGGCGAAGCCGGCTAGTAGCAGAAGCACACAGAAGCCACAAGTTGAAGTTCCTACGCAGACGGAGCTTCAGCCCCCTCACCACAAGTTGCTGAGGCGTCTGCAGACGTAGAGGCAAACCGCATGAACTCGCGAGCCCTCATTCAAGAGGATCGCCAAGAAGAACATCATGCAAATATCAGCAACCCAGAAGACCGGGGTAGCCTGCAAGATGTGCTGAAATGTGCTCTCGGTAGTCTTACAAGGCTTACATGCGCCCTTCAGGCCTTGTAGTAGTCGTCCCATCCGCTGCCCTCTTCTGCTGGCCAGGCTAAGAGCACCGGCAGCATGATGGCATCAATTCCCACCAGCAGGATGGTGAGGAAATCCCAAATGAGCCGCCAGAGACGCAGCAGCTCCTGGAAAATGCTCAGCGCCATGCCCCCTGAAGCCACCAAAAAGAACCGGATACCCCCCCTCCGCCGCCCTCCTGCAGCTGCTCCGACAAAGCCGAGCCTCAGCTTTGAGCTTCCCGGCTCCCGCTCTGCGAGCCCTCAAACAAATCGCGCTGCTCGGTTTAGGGCTTAGGGTATATAAGGGTTTTTT